AAAAGCAACACTGAGTGACAGCATGCAGTGCTCCGCATAGAAAAGTTCAAAGCACAAAATGAAGAGATATTGATGCGTAGTGTATTATATCTGTGTGATAGAGCCTTTTCTTTTAAGAGTTTTAAATTTCAGTTACTGTGCGCGTGAAGAACAATTCATAGTGCTCTCTACTCCAGTGTAGTGATCTCTAACAGACACCCGGTAGAGTAACATGCTTTAGAAACAGCACTAAACTCCAGCAAAATAAAGTCCTTTTATGCAAAACCACTGATCTTTATCTGCAGATCAACTATAATAATGGGAACATTGAATCATCTTGGGAGAGTTTCATCGTCTTGACTGTCTCACCGAATGCGACCCGCAGTTTGAATGCTGAATGGAGGATGACAGACAGCCGCAGCGGAGAGAAGAGTTTACGTGAACTTGAATTTAACGACTTAAATATTCATCGGTACCTCCCATTAAACTATGGAACGGCTTCAGAACACTTGGAATATAGTGCACAAGCACTTCATGGTGCTTTATAATGTTTTTGTACCTTTTGTGGGGCTTAACAATAACACAGAATAATATACGCAGAATATCGGATTTAGATCGGTCTCGTCTGACCAATACCCCGATCCAGCAGAAGTACTGGATGTCATTCAGCAAATACAATGCAAGTCAGTGATACTGAAAAGAAAGCAGCATGAATGTCACTTACAGGTGAGTCGCTCTTTAAGTTCAGGTGTGGGCGCCACATCCACCGCGCTCTTGCCGTGGCAGTTGAGCAGTGTGGGATCAGCGCCGTGACTCAGCAGCAGTGAACACACCTCCACTCGATTCTTACTGGCCGCCTCGTGCAGCGGTGTGAACTGCCACAGGTCCATGGCGTTAACGCACGCCCCGTGCTGTGAGCGAGACATACAGAAACTCATCAATCATGTGTTTTATTGTGTAATGAAAAACTAATAATCAAACCAATAAATCACCCGTTTATATCTGTGCTGGGGGAGCAAATATATTTTGATCAGTAAGTATTGGCTGGATTGTTTTCTTTACCTTCAACAGAAGCTCTGTGACCTCGTAGTGACCATAAGAGCAGGCATTATGCAGAGGAACTAGACCACTGATAGAAAGAGAGTGATAGAGCAAAACAACATTTCAGAATTATTCAAGATCATGATAAAAGCATTTAAAGTTAACATGAATTCAAAAACCGCCATGTTTACTTTCCAAATATACATTTCTGGTCTTATTAGGCAGTGCACATTTTTTAAATTAAACATTATATGTGTAATATAATATTATATATACACTATCGTTCAAAAGTTCGGGGCTGGGAAGATTTTTAAATGTTTTTGAAAGAAGTCTCACCAGGACTGAATTTATTTGATCAAAAATATAGTAATATATTGTGAAATATTAATACAATTTAAATTAAGTGTTTTCTATTTAAATGTTTTTTTAAATGTAACTTATTCCTGTGATGTAAAGCTGAATTGTCAGCATCAGTCTTCAGTGTCACATGATCGTTCAGAAATCATTCTAATATGCTGATTTGCTGCTCAAGAAACATTTCTGATTATTATCAATGTTGTGCCGCTTAATATATTTATGGAAACTTTTGTTTTCCAGGATTCTTTGATGAATAGAAAGTTCAAAAGAACTGAATTTATTTGAAATGGAAATCTTTTGTCACTATTATTTTTGATCAGTTTAATCCTTGATGAACAAAAGTATTAATTTCTTTCAAAAAATGGGTAACAGTCTATCATTTATTTACTTAGAATATCATTTTTTCTTTTTTTTTTATATGTCATTATTGAAGCAAAAATACGTTACCGGACACTACATGTTAAAGAGAGAAATCAGGTGTTGCTCACCCTTTATCTTTGGCATGGACATCAGCACCGTACTGCAGCAGCAGCTGCACTATACGCACACGATTATACCCAGCGGCAAGGTGAAGAGGAGTGGACTGCAAAAGAACCAGAGAAATATTACTAACCTGTCTGGATATAATCACGCTAAATAAGTGCTCGTAACCCAACCTCAAAGATATTTGTGACCCTGGAGCACAAAACCAGTCTTAAGTCGCTGGGGTATATTTGTAGCAATAGCCAAAAAAAATTGTATGGGTCAAATTATCGATTTTTCTTTTATGCCAAAAAACATTACAATATTAAGTAAAGATCATGTTCCATGGAGATATTTAGTAAATTTCTTACCGTAAATATATCAAAACTTAATTTTTGATTAGTAATATGCATCGCTAAGAACTTCATTTGGACAACTTTAAAGGTGATTTTCTCAGTATTTTGATTTTTTTGCACCCTCAGATTCCAGATTTTCAAATAGTTGTATCTCGGCCAAGCTTATTTATTCAGCTTTCAGATGATGTATAAATCTCAATTTCAAAAATTGACCCTTATGACTGGTTTTGTGGTCCAGGGTCACATTTATGTAAACCTGTTTATAACCCATCCCATCATTAGTTTAATCACTACAATGGCTAACTTTGTATATGCAGTGAGCTGTTCTATGTAATGTAATTCAGTTTCGAAATTAGGTTCTTGATGTTTTTGTGATACAAATGGAGACGTGGTACCCAAAAATCTGCTTCTGCAGTCCACACTGAATTTGCAAATTTATGGATTTTATTAAATATCTGAAAGAACACATAAAGGCCTACTCACACCAAAAACGAAAAACATAGATTAAAGGCATATTTGACTTTTTCCACATGTACAGTTAATATATAGGATGTTTTAATTGTATTGAATTTATTATACAATTAAATGATGACTTTCAGCCTACTTATTTGGAGGTGTTGTATTTAGTCACAGAAAAATTGTATTCAGTGTGTCATTAGACTTTAGTTTAGTTTGTTGCTTTCTTTCCTAATTTTTTGAGATTGACACCACTCAGTTTTAACAGTTCTTTTAGAACTTCCCAACATTTGTTTGTCACATGCCTTAAAAGGTGAAAAAGTCAGTGTCTACCCATAATCCTCAAGACAGGACCACCAATCAGAGAAAATCAATGGTACCAAGGAAACAGAAATAGATGGAAAAAGCTCAGCACCAACCACAGACTCCCATAAAGCATTGCAAATGACAAACGAGTCAGTCAGTCAATAAAAACATATATTGGTTTTATACTTATAATCGATGACTCTAAGCCAATAGTTTTATACTGTGCCATTGTTTTTAATGAAATTAAATCATTTGCATTGCTTTAAGAACACAGACCAGCAAATTTGTAATGCTCCTGTCAGAGCTGGTTAGATGGGTTCATGGCTTAAAGCTCTTTATTGAAACATTAACTTAAATTCCTTTGGCGAAAATTGGGAAAAATGGTCATACTTTCTCTAAAAACGTGAGCGGTCACTGTTGTGAACTATTGCCTCTTGGTGCAAGTAGGCCTTTATATCTGCGATCTCTCTGAACAACTGATGAATCTGGCTTGAGCTCGATCACTTAAGAAGAGATGATAATAAGTAACCACTAGTAACTTAAAATAGCCTAAGCACAAAAAAGTTAGAAATTTGTTCCCAGTTCATGCAGTGAATAAAGAAGAAATAATGGTGATATGCCTATATGACAGGCTGAACACAACCACAGCAAAGCAATCAGCATGACAACCAATCTCAACACAGCTATTTAGTAATGAAGATCTGCCTCAAAAGTATGATCCATTCATTCTCTGAGAGAATTATATTATTTAGTGCAGGATGGAGAGGCAACATTCATGTTCATATCATTATTATGAGGTCTGAAATAGTACAGCACAAGCAATGGGCAACAATGCAACGTTTCTAGCATACACACAATGGATCTAAACAGGACAGGATGTCAAAGAGAAATCAGGAGTTAAACACCACATTCGTGGAGAGCATGCGTGCTGATCACAACAAATCAAACAAACGGATTCAAGAACATGAGGTGATGCATGGATGCGGAGGTGGGGTTTGGGGTGGAAACATGGAGTTTTGGCAAAGTATTGTAAAAAAGTTAAATGAAGACTTTAAAGAAAGAAGCAAATGAAAGCCTTGTTCTCAGATCCAGCAGGAGTCAACGAAACGTTAACAGAGCCATTGGATGATTGATGGATTGTGACCAGCAGAAAATAAGGCAGGTTTCGGTGCGTTTTAAGTGAGAACCAGCATATGGATGGATTTTTTTAGGGACAAAAATTAAAAAACAAGTCGAAAGGAAAAATAAATAATAAAATCACAGAAGACCAAATAAAACTAATTTCTGTTTCACAAAATAAACTTACCAGCATTTTTTGAGATGTTGACTGAATGTCGCCAGAACAAAAAACAAAACAAAACAAAAAATTAGCTATAAACTAACATAGTATCCATCAAAGCTGACTGTGGTGCTTAAAACCTAATAATTCAACAGCTACAGCATCCTATCTTAAAATACTAAAAAAAATCTTTAGTTAATTATTTCTGTGAAAGACTCTATATTATTTTTAGGAATCAGTTCACACAGAAAGATAAATGCTACAGCCAATTTGACATTTTAAATGGCCAATATAAGACTAATAAATACTACCACTCAAAAGTTTGGGGTCTGTGAGATTATTTTAATGTATTTTACACTCACCAAGGCTGCTAGTATTTGATCAAAAATTTAAATTTTATGCTTTTGTATTTTAATATATTTCAAAATGTTATTTATTACTGTGATGCAAGCTCAATAGTCCACATCTTTCAGTCTTCAATGTCACATGATCCTTAAGAAATCATTCTAATAGTTGCTGCTCAAGAAACCTTTTTTATTATTATCAGTGTTGAAAAAGTTGTGCTGCTTAATATTTTTGTAGATACAATGGGTCTCATTTATCAATCTAACGTAGAAACAAGCGCAGATCCGTGCGCACAAATCAACTAACGAGAGTTCACGTGTGATTCATGAAACATTCGTATGCCGCCAATCTCATCTTACGAATGATCGCACGTTGATAAATGTGGCGGCAGAAAACAA